TAATAACTGGCCCACCGTTTTCATAAGTTAGCGGAACAATTATGGGAAGCAAAACATCGTACCACCGTTTCACGTAGAATTTATACGATTCATCGGATGTCCGAACTGCCATTTTTGGGTTTTTTGCAGCCAACCAATAGGGAAAACCCATCTTAAGTTTGCAAAGAATTTTTCATTAAATAAAAATATCAATCACAAACGATAATTTACCCCATCACGCTCACTGGCAATAAATGGTCCCAGGCGTAGGATTACGTTGAGGTCAAGCTTTTGAGCAATAAGACAGTAGTGAGTAATATTGAGTGTTTTAAAGTCGTATTCGCGGTCTTGATACTCATGAGATGCCCATTCAATGTATCTGAGTTGTGTTGAAACATTAAGTAAGTGTGCAATTAAATAACATAAAATTTTACGTTTGAATGGTGTTCATGCCGCCCATTTTAGCCTTCAACATACGATCTTCCCATTCACTTGGTGGAACACGATAGTAATGTATTGTGGCTGTCATCAGCTGAATTGGCTCGCCATCTTTTACATAAGTGTCTCTTTCAAAGTCTACTCCAAACGATCGTGAAGACTAAAATTTAACGATTTATTTAATTTTTAAATAGTTAACAAAATTTTCTAATTACTTTTTGAAAACTTAAGTCATGTTTGCTTGAAGTTTTAAATGGCAAATGGTTTTTTTGTTTAGATGAATGCACAAACAAAACTAATAAAACTACGACAAACTTAATTGAATTTAATAAATTCATTTTTAATTATTGCTAATAATTATTTGTACAATAAAAACATGCAACTCAAAAGTTTATCAAGAGTTTTATACTAATGTTGTGAAAACAGCAAAATGGATACTGTTTTATCAATATTTGAAATATTATAGCATGCTTAAACTGGCAGTTTATTATCTACAAACACTAAAATATTTGTGTGCATTGATTTGGTAAAACATTAAACTTGCAATGTTGATTAAATTGAAATGCGGTTAATGTTTTGTATCAATAAAACTTTTTATTTTAAAATGTTTGGCAAATTATTTGAATATTTAAAATTGCTAGCATATCCAAACTCATCAATTTGTTATTTCACCAAACAGGTAACTAACTGTAGCAACTTACCTTTAACACAGTTTTATTATTATTTTAATGTGTTGTGACAATTCAAACAATTTTTTTGTAAACAATAAAAGCATTGTTTAGTTTAAGGGGTAATTTACACAAAATTTGTTGAATTAAAATGGCGTTATTAAAATTATTTATTTTAGCTGCATTTTTTAATTTTGCACACTCAAAAATTTTGCTACATGACAATGAGCCATATTCAAAAACAGCACCTCAACAAATCCATTTATCTCTTGGAAGTATGTAGTACAAAACAGTTGTCAACAAAACTAATGTTTTTGTGAATTTGCAAATAGAATCTCATGCTGAGATGACTGTCACCTGGACAACTTACAAACCAACGCCAACTTTAGTTCAATATGGCACTAAAAAAGACAGTCTAAACTTAGAAACCACTGGAAACTTTACTACTTTTGTTGATAATGGCAATCGAACTCACTACATTCATCGAGTTAGATTGTTAGGTCTTAACCTAAAAACCACATATTGTAAGTTAGATTATCTTCATAGAAAAACAATTTGTAAAAACTACTTTGGTTTTCAGACTACAAATGTGGCTCAAAAGAAGGTGAAATGAGCAAAGTTTTCAAGTTCAAAACGCTGACTGACTCTACTGACTGGAAGCCGACTATGATTGTCTACGGTGATTTAGGAGTTTCATACGGAGAAACTATTCCCTATTTGATTCAAGAAGCAGAAAATGGCACCGTTGATGTTGTCTTTCACAATGGTGACTTTGCATACGATTTGGGCACGGTATGTTATTTTGTAAAAATGACGTTTTGACAAAAAAACTTTAACTTGCAATTTAGGACAACTCAAAATTAGGCGACACGTTTATGCGGCTGATGGAGCCAATGGCTACATTAGTTCCCTATCAAACTAGCATTGGAAACCATGAAACTGGATCGTAAGTTTATTTATAAATGACAATTAAAAAAGCACTAAATCTAAATCTTGATTTCACATTAAAGTATGGAAAATTACATCAACTACATGAACCGCTTCACAATGCGCGACATGATAGCTGAAACACAGCTAGAAAACAACGTCCACTACTACACTTTTTACCTTGGAAGTGCCCTGATGATTAGCATCAACAATGAAATATACATCAAAGAGTCCTCAAGAGCAACGATGAAACCGAAATTTAAGAAGGAGCAGGAGGACTGGCTTGTACAGCAACTGAAACGAGCAAACACACCCGAGGCCAGAAAACGTCATCCCTGGGTCATTGTCCTCGGCCACCAGCCCTTTTACTGTCACAGCTCGCCGACTGA